ATCAGCTTCATGAAGCCAAAGCAGATGGGTTGAGGAAGCCAAGAAGGACAGAGGGCAGCAGCTACAGGAGTGTCCTGGGCAGAAGCCATGTCTGAGCCGTGCTGCCCTGTACAGCAGCTGTCGGCCACGCACAGCCCAAGAAATGTGAAGTAATTAAAGTGAACAAAATGAAAACATCTATTCCTCAGCTGCACTAGCCACATTTCAAGTGCTCACTAGGCACGGGAGGCTAGTGGCTATTTCGTGGCCAGGGCGTATGGGACGTTTTAATTACTGCAGAACGCTCCATTACATAGTGCTGCCTTAGAGGCCTCACTCATCCCTCAGGTTGGAAATGCCCTTGGACCCTAATTTGTCCTACAACAGGAAGGTGAGTCCCGAGGTTCAGTTGCTCTTATTCAAGAAAACGGGGGGCAAGGAAGGTCAGTGAGTGTTTTCACTTTGGGCCCATTCACCTCTCCGGACTATTCTCAGGCTGGAAGAAAGCCAGAGAGACCAAGACCTTGATGCCAGAGAGCTGCCAGGGTCAACTCCCCCCAGAGTCTTCCCCTTGGGGAGATGCTAAGAGGTAGTGAGAAGTGCATGCTCCTTGAGCGGGCAGCAGCCACTGGGAATGAGGTAAGTCTCAGAAATAGCAGTTCCTGCCTCGTCACCCCTCCATGACCATGGGCAGACCTGTGGGGGAGGAGAGTGGCTAGAAACTTTCTGTTTGGGTGGGCTTCTCCTTTCCTGGGCAGACGGACTTCTAGTGAAGAGGGGAAGGCAGAGCCCCATCCTGTGCTGCTCCTCACCCCCTCACCCTTGCTGAGTCATTGTCAACAGCAAATCCCAGGCAACGAAGTCGCAGCATCACTCTTGGTACTAAAACCCTGCTGACAGTCGAGTGTCGTGACTGGCACCGCTTCTAGAAGCAGGTTCCTGCCTCTCCTGATATCTGAGCGGCCCAACTGGGTTGAAGTCTTGGGACCACCCACCCAAGGTCATCCGATTGGCCATAAAGCTCTTGTTGGGTGGCTCCCTTTCTCCTGCTATTCCCACCTTGGGTAAAATTCAACCTGGAGCTTTAACTGGGATTGTGCTGTCTATGGATCAGTTTGAAGAAAACTGACATCTTTATAATATTAGGTTTTCCAATTCATGAACATGATATATTTCTCCATTTACTAAGTTTTCTTTAATTCATCTTTATGAAATTTTATAGTTCTCTCTGTAGAGATTTGAGACATATTTTGTTAGATTTATTCTTAGGCATTGTATATTTTTCAGTGCTTATCATAAAGTATATCTTAAAAATATTTATCCATCATTTTTGACAAATTTCAGTTCATGATAGGAAAACAACCCAGCTATTTAGTTATTTTCAGACCATGCTAATCAGTTTTTCATGCTGACCAACTTGGTCCTGCACAATCAAGTAGGACCCAGGTGCTATCTGCCCCAACCCAGGCATTCCTTCTGCTCTCAGGAGGGGATTTCCTTTGGCATGCCATTAGGTCTTCAAATCAATCCTACTGTCTCGGCTTTCCCACTCTTCCAGACATCAGCAGACTCAGGTCCCTGAGGTTTGGTGGGGGACTGAATTGCTCTAAACTGGTTTATATTCACCCATCGTTTTTGTATATTTTTGGAACAAAGTGTGAATTTAAGGAGTGGGGCAGTTGAATTTGGGGCAGGGATTTACTTAAGTAATTCATTTTCCATTGAGTGGTGAGAATAGATAGAAATGAAGAACTTGGGAACACTAATCGCCCTGAAGACAATGAAAGCAAGAGCACACACCAACCAACTGACTGACTGACCAACCAACCAATCACAGAGACAAAAAGGACAAGAAAAAGCAAGTAGTGGCAACGTGAGATCACTTCTCCCTGGCTGTGACTGTGTTGCTGCCTAACTGTCCTTTTACAGCGATTGCCCACAAGTGTAAACCCTTTCCTATCACACATAAACAATCATCCAGGGAGTGATAAGGTGCAACAGAATTCAACTAATGGGAATTAACTTCAGGTCACTGTCAGAAGCCCTGGTTCTTGGGCACATTCAGCTCGATATTTTCACCAGAGCTACAAGTCATTTCTGGTTTGGTTTTCTGCCTGAAATGTTTGGGGAGGCTTTTCCTGGAGTCTATTCCTTAATGAAGAATATCACTTAATAAGAATCCAGGGAGCCCTGCTTTCCCAATGCTCCTCCAAACTGGTCGACCTTCGCTGGCCAGCCAGTTCAGTGACTGGCACCCTCTCCTGCCAGGAGACACTTAGAGGCGTCCACAGGAAGGGTCCATTTCCTGTTCTCTTTACAGACTGACCCTGGCAGGTGAAATGCAAATGGCCCCAGGATGGCTCTCTTTCTTCTTTAGGAAAAGTCTCTCTTGTTTTTCCCATATTCTCACAATAGACAACTAGGGGTTGAGGAAACTAGGCAGCATTTTATGCTGTAGACCACAGCTGGCTAGTTTTGGGAGACTGGCTCGTTCCTAGAGCTGCAGGATTTGGGCACAATGTCTTTCAGGTGGAGGCTCCTGCAGGTGTCAGTTTCATTTGCACCCTGGGGCAGGTTTGCTCAATACATCTCTCATGCTGGTGAGACTGATTCAGGAAGTCCACTGCAGGGCCCTGCAGATTTCGTCAGGCATCATCAGAAACACATCTGAGTCAATTGTGAAATGACTCAAGGCTTTGAAATATTTAAACCATATGTCTCATGAAACTAGATGAAAGTGATGCCAGTTTCCCTACCTAGGGGCTGCCATCTGAGATTGAAGCTCAACTCGGCAATGATCCTGAATTCCTGGCCTTGCTCGGTTATATCGCTGTGGGCTGTGAACCTGTTAGTACTCCTGGCCCACAGGTGGGCAGAGGTACTGTGAGCCCTTCAGAAAGTGGCCAGGGATATTCAGTGGTCTTCTCTAGGCCAGGACAAAAATTTATGTCCCTTAATGGGACTAGGATGGAAGGGAAAAGATTATAATTGCTGCCCTGGAGGAAGCAGGAAAACACCATTCTCATCACCAGATGACCTTCATTAGGAGTCTAATTCTCTGAAAATCAGCCAAAACACCTAGGCATTCTTTGAGTGGAAAGAAAAATCAGCATTTTAAGAATACTGTCAGTCTTATTTTTGGCGTATCTCAAAGGTTGTTTCCCTCTTTCTGAAATGTACCCAGCAGAACACTTGATGTGGAAAGATGCTAACAAGCTGATGTGGAAATACACTGACCTTAACTCAGAGGTGTTAGATTCTGTTCCCAGTTAAGCTAATTAGTACTGGTGTAATTAATATTACACCCAATTGCTCTGAACTTCACTTCCCTCTTCCCTAAAGTGGGGGTGCTAAGACCTATCGTATAGGGGCATTTTGAGGTTTACATGCAATGAGGTATGTGTAGCACATGGTAGGTTATCCAGAAATGCTGGTTGAATATTAATTCAAAAAAGATGATGGATAGCTTGTCAATGAACATGGATCCCCCTGCCCCAGTTAGTCCTGGGACAAGTACACATTTGAATACCAATAAAATACATGGCCGGGGACTCCTCCTTTTGGCCTGCTGTTGATCTGTGATGCATCTGGGGAAACTAACAAAGGAGGGGAAGAGAAGGAACAGAAAGCCAGAGAGTTTTCTCAAGTCCGCATGGAACAATTCTCTCTGAACCAAATCTTTCCTTCTCATCGCTCTCCGACAGGAGTTAGGGAAGCCAGGAGAGCCACTGAGTTGTTACAGACCCTCCCTCAGAAGTAGCTGCCCACGTTGTGAATCCCAGGTCAGTGGATGCCAGTGACTCTGGCTGGTCTTCAGGGGTGGAAGACAGAAGGTGCTGCTCAAACCAGCCTGCTCCTCCATTATCCAGGACAATGGGGTGGGGCTGGTTAAGGAGGGCACAGATAATCCAAGGTGATAGGTAATCCAGCTTTCCCTACCCTGCCTCATCCATCCAAGGGTTCTACTCTTGTCTCTCAAACTCTTTTGGAGGAGCTGCTTATAAGAAGCAAAGCATAGACATTTGCAGGTAACTGCCCTTCAGGTGCTGGAAGGTGCAAGGGAGCAATGATGTAGTCTCTGAGGTGGGGAACAGGAGGCCCCAAAGGCTAGAACCGTGGTCAGCAAACTGCGGCTCACGAGACACATGCTGCTCTTTGGCCCCTTGAGTGTGGCTCTTCCTAAGCCTTAGGAGTACCCTAATTAAATTAATAACAATGTACCTACCTATATAGTTTAAGTTTAAAAAATTTGACTCTCAAAAGAAATTTCAATCGTTGTACTGTTGATATTTGGCTCTGTTGACTAATGAGTTTGTCGACCACTGGGCTAGAATACTGAGCCCTGAGCAAATGCAGCCCTGGCTGGGCTTTTTACAATGGGACTGGTGGTTGATGAAATGGGAGGAGGATAGAACAGAGGCCTGAGTGGATCTGGGGCGCTGGGCCTGGAGAGGTTTGGTTTGCATAGTTTCTTCTAGATCATGTACTGGGGGATGGGCCAGAGACAAAGTGAGAAATGGGAGAGGGAAGAGCATCATCTGCCTCCCCTGGATGGAAAGGCTCAGCTCAGGGGCGAATCTGTGTCCTGTCCCTATCAGCCATGGTCCAGAGTCCAGGGGTCCTCAAACTTTTTAAACAGGGGGCCAGTTCACTGTCCCTCAGACCGTTGGAGGGCCGGACTATAGTTTAAAAACAACAACTATGAACAAATTCCTATGCACACTGCACATATCTTATTTTGAAGTAAAAAAACGAAACGGGAACAAATACAATATTTGTATTTGCATGTGGCCCGCGGGCCGTAGTTTGAGGACCCCTGGTCCAGACCATGAGCTGAGATTCTACTTCAAAGACTTGACCTGGTCCAATCTTGGCAGGTTTAGGAGTTGGAGCATTTATCTATCATCAGAGAAGATATGGCCCTTCACTGATTATTTCTGCCCCTCACTCTCCTTCTTTCGATACTGGTACTCAATCCCTCTAGTGCCTGCACACCAGATGTCTTTTATTCAGAGGCTTACCTTGGGTTTAAAGGCAATGAGCTTCAGAATCATCTCCACAGTGAAGAGGCCAGTGAAGAGCATGTTGAGGATGTTCATGGCCATTTTAAACAGGCAGCTCTGACCGTAGTGCTGAGCGGAGGGAAGAACTGTGAAAACGAGGCAGGGATATCCCTACTCCTCACCACCCTCAACAGAGGTCTTCCTTGAACCATCCACTTCCTGGAAGGCCATCCAGTTCTCTATGGGCAGTCAAGTGGATTCAGGAAATCTTACAAGTTCTTTCTTTCTCTGCCATCTCCGAAAACAGAAGTTGGCAGAGTTCTATGTTCCTGCGTTGATTGGTTATGACAACTTTATGGAGAATCCTGGCACTCAAAAGAGCACTAGCATGAGTTGATCTCCCTGAAGACAGGTAGATGTAGAATCAATTTCCACACACCATGCCTTATTGACCATAATGAACACTTCGAGCTCACCCTCTGTTCTCCATTTCCTCCACTCTCTCCATTTGTTCCAACCTAGGGGCCTATGGATTCCTAGGGTCCCAGAGAGGAGCTCATCCTTGAGAAAGAGAACTTGTCTTTCTCTACCTGGGAGAAGAGGACAGCTCTTCTGGTCTTTCAACCTCCTTTGGCCACCAGGGAGGTGACAAACCAGAGATGCCTGTGCAGCCCTTTTGCACTCCATTTCCTCCCATAGCACTCTCCCCCATGCAGGCATCAAGGGATCAAGGGCCCCCCTGGACTAACCTGCATGGCCAAGCAGATGGTGTTGAGCAGGATGAGGACGAACATCAGGTACTCAAAGTAGGTGGAGTTGACCACATACCACACTTTGTACTGGTGCTGGTTCTTGGGTATGTACCTCCGCAGGGGTCGGGCCTTGAGGGCATATTCTACACACTGACGCTGGGAGGGAGGTAGTTGCGGGGGGGTGGCGGAAATGGGGAGAGAGTGTGGTTAGTTACCTGGATATGTGCAGAGGAGGGTGGGATGTTGATGAAACTATGTCCCTGGGGAGTAGCATTCTCTGGGAATCTGAGAATAATTTATTGCTCTAGCTCATTTATAAGTTTGAGGTATTATTTGAACATTTTTTAGATTTTTCTCTCCCTTAATCAAGGAGATCCATATCTTCTAGTTAATCTCTTTATTAGGCTTAGCTGAGGAGTATGTGTCTCCTTTCAACTCCCAATGCCACTACACTGCTGCCACATAGTTGGCATTTTAGTTCCTATGCCACAGACTCTCTTTGGAGCACTTGTCTGCTCTATTTTTCTTTCTTGTCCTCAACCAATCTTCCTTATTACCAGTGTCCACAGATCAGAAGACCCAGATCATGGATGGTGATGAGATCTTGGGCTAACTAGGTTCTTGGGACTCCAGCAAAGTGCCTATCACTGTGCCCAGAATTTCTTAGCACTGTGCCCAAATTTCCAAGTCTGGAACCGGGGGGTCACTGTAGCCTCTTCTCTTACACACACACCCGCCCCCATATCCAGTCTCTAAGCCTGATCCACCTTATTTCCTCCTAGTCTCTTCATCTCTACTATTGTTAACCTGGTAGTAGATGAGGGTCTAATCACCTTTCATATAAACTTTCTGACTGGTCTCCTTCTTCCCTGTCTTATTACCAACCCAAAGTCCATACAGCAGCCAGAATGATGAGTCTCAACCCAAGATGTTGACATCAAAATCTTTGAGGGGTTCAGCTTGCCTAACGGGTAGAGCTGAGTGTCTTGTGCCATGCTCCTTTCCATAAGCAGACCTGAAGTCACTCAGAGGGGTATATTACTGCATGGACTCTTCCCATGGGGGAACATGGCTGGGCACCTGACCTCGGTGACTGTACACTGCAGCCCACCCTAACAGCTTCATTCCTCACCAATTGCCAGTTCTTGTTCATAGGCTGAGAGAGTATAACATGGTACTGGGCATTACCACAGCACTCCTACTTAAGCCTCTCTCCTGCCCCCACTTCATACACAGGCCTCTGGGTTTTACTAGAGAAACCATTTAATGGTGGTTTTTTAATGCCATGCTCTTCCTAACCCTCAAAACTCTCAGTCCCTCACTGTTCTAGTTTCTTTCCTTTTTATCAATGGGACTAACCTACCATGGGCACTTTCTAATTTGTCAGCTTCTAGATAGGGCACAAGGTTTTCATCCCCTCACACCCCCCTCCCCCAAGTCTATCACAGAGTCTCCTTAAGTAGATACTTAATGAATGATTGTTGGCTGAATGAATGCATTTGGTAGATCTGGGATTAGCATTTCTTTTGCTCAGTCTCCTCCAGAAGACTGGGGAGCCCCATTCTCATTTACAGGAGCAGACAGATGATCTTAGTATCCATATGGATCTCTCTCCTGACCACAGCCTCTCTTCTGGGAGGGCCAACTGCTGTCATTCCTCATGTGGCCCGACTTCCCCTCAATGCCTCGGTCCTCTCCTTCCTAGGAAGCTACCTGGTTCTTGTCCAGCTCACAGTTCTTGTATTCCTGCTCTCCCTGCTCCTGGAAGGTGACGATGACGAAACCCACGAAGATGTTCATCATGAAGAAGGCAATGATGATGATGTAGATGATGAAGAAGATGGAGATCTCCACACGGTAGTTGTATATGGGGCCCTTGTCTTCCGTGTGGGAGTCGATGGAGCGGTACAGCAGCCTGGAAGAGGAGACAGGTCCCACAGAGGGAACTGGAGAAGCAGTGCCACCTCTGCGGAATGATGGCACTGCTGCTCCTAAGGAGTTCAGGGGTGCTGGAAACAGCTCTAGCCTGGAAGTCAGAAGATCTGGGTTCAAGTCCCAGCTATGCCACTTACTGGCCTTGTGACCTTGGGCAAATCACTTAACCTCTTTGAGCCTGAGATTCTTCATCTGTAAAATGAAAACAATAATTCCTGACTTTCCTAACTGGCAAAATAGTTGATATAATGTACATGAAGGTGTTCTGAAACTGTCAAAATTATTTTAATATTTTAATGTAATATGAATCATGGACATTGATTTCAAATACTATAAATATTGGTAAATATTGAAATAGCTTTGCAAACTGACAGAGACTCAGAGGATGTTACAATGAACATAAATCTATCAGAGATCAAACACCCATTTAGATAAAAAGAGTAGGCAACAAAGGACCCAGGCTTATTCAGATCATCAGCAATGGTTTGGCTTTACACTTGGGGGTTTACATGTGTGTGCCATCCATCGGGGCCTGGGCTCTATATCCATCATGCTTGTTCTCCTCTTCCCCTTCTTCTTACCCAGCATAGTACTTGGTTATCCTCCAGGTATTATCAATATTTTACCATATAATAATGGTGATTCTTATCTAAGATCATGTGCTATTGTTGACTTAAAATATGTAGAACTTTCTGACTGTTAGATGATAATTTCACTGGAATACAAAAGTGGGGGAGCAGGTGTCTGTATAAGATGTAGGGAGCACAAGATGGACAAGCTGCCTGGTACGGGTGAGACAGCATAAAGGCTGACCAGCTGGTGGTTTAGGCATGAAGACACTGCCTCTGCAGCGAAGTCTGGACCCACACTTCCATCCCTTTCTTACTTTCCACTATAAATATCAACACACTTTCTCTACGGAGGCTGGGGTAGTCTCATAAAACAGAGACAGCTCTGCCATCTTCACCCGCATTGAGTGCACGCTGGGGGTGATGATCTTGAATCCTGTGGTGACTCAAGGGCCCACAGTGGAGAAACTTTCCCCACACCCCACACCCCACTCCCAGGTGTCATGAGGGTAACCACAGACCCCTATTGTTAGGGCCTCACTCTGAGGCTGGGAAGGAGAACTAAAAGAAGCTCATTTTTGGTTTGAGTTTCTGAAATGTTGACATCTCTAGAAAAAGAAAAGTGTGTGTTTCAGCAGTGATGATGGCCTACAAATTGTTCTAGAAACACAGCCAGACTTCCTGGGTGGGTTGGTGGGGGGGCTCTGGTAAGTGACCTCTGGGAAGGAGTATGGGACAGTAATAAAACTTGGGGACTGTGTGTGAGGACCATGTCCTGGCCTCTGGTATCAGGCCTTGATCTGCATACTCACTCTGGCCACCCCTCAAAGGTGGAGACGGTGAAGAGAGCCATCATGGCTGCCAGGACATTGTCAAAGTCAAACTTGCTGTTCTCCCAGTTGCGGGGCTGGATGATGGGGTGGTCAACCTCCCCGTCCTTGTACGTGATGTAGTTTCCCCTGAGAAAGGAGAAAGTTAGTTGTGGGGGGTCGCTCATCTCCTTTCACACCTGATCCACATGCTCTTGGCATGCTGGGTGGGAGGGAACTAGTTAGGCTTAACACCCTCAGTTCTAGCCATCGGCAGGACCTTCAGCGGGGAGAACCTGGTATGTTGTCTGTGGGATCAGATTATCCCTGAGTAAAAGTCCAGCTCCACTGCTATCTGAGGGAGAATGGCTGTTCCTCCTCTCACACCAAGCCACCAACCTCCCGAGTTACCCAGCCTAGATGCTGGCTCCCGCAAGCCCGCACTCACTTGCATTCCGCCTCCGTCTGCTTGGAACTGTCTGAACAGGTGTAGAGCTTTCCCTGGAAGGCAGAAGAAGGAAGGGGTTGGAGATGTTCATTAATCAATGAATTAATCAGAAATGATCATCCCAGCACCATGCTAGGGAGGTTGGGACAACAAGTGTGAGGGGAGCAGCGTCTAGGTGGGCAGACCTGAGTCACAGATATAAAGCAGTCAGAGCCCGAGAACCACTATAATTCAAAAAAGGGAGCTCCAATTGTGAGTGCCGGACTCTGAAGGAGGTCTTGTGGGGAAGAGAGCGGTGGAGCTGGGCTTGGAGGGATGACTGGGTGGGAGGAAATCCGTGGAAGTTTAATTGGTGGGTAGGAGAGGGGGGAAGAATGCTTCCAATGGGAGAAGCACAGAGATAAAAGGATTACGGCAGAAAAGAGTGGAAACCAAGGACACTGGGCTCCCTGGACCTGGGGGGCTTCTCAGGAAGCAGTGAGAGAGGACGTGGACAGAGGCAGGGCAGTTTGATGCCACTGCAGGTTTTACGCAGGTGCCTCACACAGGTTTCTGAGCATAGGAGTCTGTCTCCCTTTACTGCCAGAAGCAGGGGCAGGACCTGAAGGGCAGGCAGCACCTAGAGGCCAAAAGGTCTTTGCCTGGTGGGGCAATGCCTCCTTCCAAGCCTGTCCCTTTTCTGGTCTGGGAGCTGAGGGCAGGGTGACCTTCATCCCAAGCCCAGCATAGTACTTGGTTATCCTCCAGGTATTATGGCTGGGCACCTGCCCCCCACCCCCCAGGCCACAGTCCTCTTCTGGCTGTATGTGCCAGGTCCCCTTCCTAGGAACGCTGACAGGAGAAGGAAGAGCCAAGGTCTTACCTTGAAGAGCTGGACCCCGATGCAGGCGAACATGAACTGCAGCAGCGTGGTGACAATCACGATGTTCCCGATGGTGCGGATGGCCACGAACACACACTGGACCACATGCTGCAGATGGAGAGAAGGCGGGCGGGGGAGTGGTGTCGGGAAATGCCTGTAGCCTGGGCTTCTTTGGCAAAGCACAGGCCCCTCCGAGGAGGCAGCACGGCAGCCCCTTGGCCACAGTGAGGAACTCAGACTCAAAGAGGCAAAGCACCTTCCCCTTTCCAGGGTCACACGGGAGGGAGCCCAGTGGCACACAAAGGCCCCTTTGGGCTCTAGGTAACCACAGGGACATAAGCCCCACTCTCTTCCTAATTCCTAGGGTAGGAATACAGGGACCTCATCACCATCTGGGCACTGGGTTTGTGTGTGGGTCTCCTTTTTGCAGAAGTGTTGCTGAGGAGTTCAGATTTTGAGTGGCTGCCTGTCATTGTTCTTAAAGGGGGAGTGGAGAAGCAGCAGGAGAGTGCAGGCTCCAACAGGGCAGCCACTGGAGCCCACACTACCTCCCCCCTGCAGCCCACCCCTCACCACAGCTTAGCTCCCCGCTGCAGCCCACAGGCTGGCTGCTGCTGCGGGGGTGGGGGGCGGGGGTGTTGGTGGCTCCCGCTCAGCCCCCCTCTCACCTTTAGCCCCTTGGCTCGGTTGATGGCTCTCAGGGGCCTGAGTACACGCAGAACTCGCAAGATCTTTACAACATTGATCGCACTGGACCTGGGAGAGAAGCAGGGCAGGGAGTGAGCTTCTTGTGTTTTTGGCAAAGCAGCAAAGAATGTGGTGAGGAGTGTCCTGGCAGGTAACCCAGCAAACCTGTTAATGTGATGGGCCTTTCTCATCCTGGGACCCTCTCTACTCTCTACTCCCGGCTCCCACCCCATGAGGACCTGAGGCTTGCCTGCCCGGACTACCTGTGGGTAAGTAATATGAAAAGCAGCTCACCAGGACTCACTAGCAACATCACCTGCCACCCAGGGGCCTTTAGAGCCATCGGAGACACAGCGCGGGCCACGCAGACCTGGGGTCTAACCCAGCTCTGCCACGCACCAGCCGCGTCACTGAGGATCAATGCCCTAACTTTTCTGGGCCCTAGTTTTTTCACCTGTAAAATTGGGTAGTAATCACTTCGTAAGGTTGTTGCAAGGACTGAGTGAGGTGTGAGTGGTCTAGTGTATGAACTGAATACATGGCAGCTTTATTATGAGGGCTGAGGAAGACATGGCTGAACTTGAAGAAACACTACACAAATGGCGGCACTTCAGGCGGGTGGCAAAAGGTGGAGGGCATGGGCAGGAGATACCATGCTCATCTCTAAACATGTCCTCGGTGGCTGCCCCGTACACTTATATGTAAAACTTCTGGCTCATAGCAGTCAGGAGGAATGGGTTCTATCTAGCAGGTCCTGCACACCTTGAAGAACTTCAGGAATCTCTGGCCACTGTTGTTCCCTAACGAATAGGAGGTCCCAGGGACCCAGTCCCCACCAGCCCAGGTGGCCTGTTCACCACACCAGCTCGTCAGCTCGGGGAGCAACTCTGAGGTGTGTCCTAACCCTCACACGCTAACCGCTAACCGTCTGATTGAGATAATCCCTCTGGCTTTTGGAGAGCCTTAGACCCACCTTGGGACCTAAACAACGCGTGAGGCAGGTAAGTGCTAACTTCATTCTTCAGGTGGTCAGGCTGATGTGCTCGTGGGTCAGGGGTGGGGGCGGCGGCAGAGAGAGCTGATTTCTCTGGTTCTCAGCTCTTTCATTCCAAAGGATTCAAAGGACATCCCTATCTATATGGTATCTGAGGGAGGGAGTCCGTTTGCACTGAATCACAATGGGAGGGATTTAAAGGTCAGATGGGAAAAGCACAGACTAAAGCAGGGAGTCCTTGGTTCAAGGTTAAACGATGACTTCGTGGTAGTGCTGGGTTAGAATCCAGACCCGCAGGCTTGCAGACAGACAGTGGTGGGTCAGATAATTGGTGACCAGAGGGGAGAGTCTCATGCCTAACACCCCCACTCCATGCTTTCTGGGTTGACCTTGAAAACACCCGTGGGAGGGGAGACTCAGGGTCGTTTTCTTTGCCCTCAGTGTGACCTTGGGTATGTCTCACAATGTCCTGAACCTCAGTTTTGCTGTCTATAAACTGGGGGTAACAGTACTTGCCCTGCCCACCTTGTAGGTTTGTGTGGGGAATGTTGGTGAAAGTGCCTGGGAAGTTAAAGGGCAGGATTAGCACTATTAGCTGATACAATGTGAGAGAAACTTGTAATCAGATTCTTTTAAACCTGAGCAAGTTTGCAAACTTGGTTGTACGATGGAACCCTCTGGAGAGCTTTTAACAATCTTAAAGCCCAGGCTGAACCCCAGAACAGTTAAATAAAAAACTCTGGGGCACATGTCTTTTTAAAAGTTACTTAGGTGATTCACTGTGTAGCCAAGATTGAGAACCCTCCCTTGCTCCCTCCCTCTCTCTCTCACCAGGTGCTTTGACTGGAGAGGAGAGAGGAAGGGAGGGAGAATGGGCTGGAGACCAGGGCAGATCAGGGCAATGACAGGCCCTTGGAGCTGAGGGCACCCAAAGGCCCTGGGCACATGGTGGGGGGACAGGAAGGCACTAGAGCCTTTCTTCTCATTATAACGGGGCCTGGCCCTGCCTGCCATGGAAAGCTCCAGGCATTTATATGTGTTCTTGCGGGATCAACACACCCCAAGTGTCACACCATGAGGACAGGACATGGGCACAAGAAATCAAAGCCGCCATGTTGTACAGTCAGAGGCCCCACCCCATTCACACCGCAGATCCATGGATGGGTGCGGGGGGCCCTGCAGACTCTTCATGTCCTGACACCCATTCCTAGTTGCATGCCCTCACGGCTGAGGGGGTCCTACTCACTGGATGCCAAAGGAGATGAGGGACACGCTGACCACTAGCAGGTCCAAGATGTTGAAGTAGTTCCGGCAAAAGGAGCCCTTGTGCAGGAAAGCCCCATAAGCAGTCATCTGCAGGGAGGCACAGAGAAACACCCGCATGAGTGGTGCCCGTCCAAGCTTCAGAGACCCCCCCACCCTGCCCTCCCACAGCACCCCGAAGAGCAGTGAGGGGACAGAGGGCTGGGGGGTAGGCAAGACTGGAGAAGGAGATACAGTGTCAAGAAAAGGGTTCTGCAACCATTTATACAACCACCAAAGAATCCCAAGCCCAGGGGCTATCAGTGTCTCCTACCTAGCAGGCAATGCTAGACTCTTCAATCCTATATTTGAAGCCCTTTCAAATCAGGCCGCCAGCCCTTTCCCATTTTCTACTGTTCCTCATCCAATAGCCGTGGCTCCAGCCCCGAGGGGCCCTTTGCTGATGCTATGCTGACCAGGTTTTCCAACCTCCTCTCAAAATTCCACTGACATCGGAACCAGCTTAGGACACTAGGCATCTGGGGGGAGGAGGTGTGCCCAGGAAGGTCACAGCCATCCTGGTTTCCTGGGACTTCCCAGTTCAGTTCTGAAAGAATGGGTCCCTCAGTCTCAGGCAGATTGGAACAGGTGGGCCTCTACTGCCCAGTGAGAAGATCTGCCAGTAGCTCTGGCACTGAGCCTCCCTCAAACTGCCTCTGATCTGGGCCACGCATTCTAAACTCAGTCGCCGTCTTGCTGCTAGACTGTGTGTCCTTCAAGGGCCAGAGCTGTGTCCAGAGGGGCCGTGTGGTGCGTGTTAAAGATCACAGGCTCTAAAGTCAGGCCGCCTGGGTTTAAATCCCAACCCTATTGTATTTTATTTGTGAGGCCTTGGCAAGTTACTAACTATTCTGTGTTTCAGTTTCATCATCTAAGAAATGGGGAGACTGATAATATCTCCCCTATAGGGCTACAAGTTCCAGTTGAGCTATTGTATGTAAATCACTTAGAACAGTATCCTGCTGGTAGTCAGTGCTGTGTGCATGCTGGGCTCAGAGAGCTTGGATTTGAATTCTGGATTCTTTCTGCACAATGGAAGTTCAGTTTCCTCATCGATAAAGTGGGTGCACGATTCCCTGCCTCCCTGAGGCACATACTACGTACGGAAAACCACGTGAAACCAAAAGGGAACATGTGGACTGATGAGTATTATCAGTACTGGCTGTTATTACCTCTCTCAGAGCTTGGTATAAAGCCACTGTAGGTGCTCAGCAAATAGCCTTTCTAATTGTGTTGACCTGAATTAAGGGTTTCCAGGTGAAGGGCTGTGAAAGGCCACGGGCCACAAAACATCAGACAAAGGGAAGCTTTGGAAGCTGCTGGCTGAGAGGCCGAGCGGCTCCCTGGTCACCGGGTCCAGTTCATCCCTTTGGAGCAGAGCATGCCCAGGGCAGCACGTCTGCAGAGCGGTCCCAAGCAAACACAGGGGGAATGAGCAAAAATAGCTCTTGCAACCTAATTCTTTCCATTTATCTCTTGCCACAGGGGGTCACAGGGGATGCAGACACCTGTGTCCTGCAATCGTTTCTTGAAGTGGGCAGGTTATATAAAAGGTGGCAGGGGAATAGAGTCGGAGATCTCTCCCAGAGGCTACCATCTGGAGGGGCTCGCTGCCCCTCTCGTTGAGGATTTGGGACCCCAGAGAGCGGACTTGGGTGGCTCCCATGGTTCATGTTAACCAAAGTGCTCTGTGCCTGCTGAAGGCTGAGCACCTCCCTAGCCACCCCCTCCCCCGCCCCCCACCCTCTCATCTTAGAGAAGGTGCTGGGTATTGTGAGGACGCTCTGAGCTCCAACAGAGCCATCTGCATCCAGGGGAAAGCATGCCTCCCTCCGGTGGACGCTGGGCTCAGAGCGCCAGCTCTGTCCTTTGATTTGGGTTCCAGTTTTGTCAGAGCCACTGCTTGGGAAAAGCCACTGCTGGGCATTTTCAGCCCAAAGAGAGAAAAGCAGCGGGACACAGGGCCACTGACTCTGAGCTGGAAGGGCAGGAAGGCCCCTCTGTCCAGCCACGGGCGACCCACCACTTCTGGAGCCAGCAATTCTAGTTCCCAACTGCATCTCACCTTTTATCATTTCTGCTCATTTGTCCTGGTTCCAGCTCCTCCCTCCTCTATGTGACAGGCCTTTGCATCGTTCAGGCCAACTGTTGTGTCCTACAAGCCTTTTTTCTTTAAGGCCAAAACCCCCCAGTCTTTCACCTGCTCCTGGGACTAAATGTCCCTCTTGATGACTGTCATTGTCTGTGCCAGTGGCAGGACGCCAGGCCTTCAGCCAGGCAGAGGCCCGTGGAAGGTGGTGCAGGGAAGTGCGCTGGGGCTGGGATTTATATCTGCAAGCACACTGGGTAGAGAGTAGAAGAGGCAGAGGGGAAGGCAAGGAAGGTCTTGCCATGACAGTGCCTGTGCAGTGAGCTCTCACTCCTGTTTGTGAAATGTTTAGGCACAACAGCGCCACTGAAACCCCCAGGGAGGCTCTGCAGAGGGCGCTGAGAACTTCTGGTCACAGGAGAGGATTTGGGGATTTTGTGTGCCTCCCTGAGTCTGAAAATATCAGCTCTTCCTGGAAGGGGGCTCTGCAGCACCCCTCCCAGTGCAGCCAGCACCCCTCGGGCCCCTCTCCTCACCCCCAGAACCGGGACCTGGAGGATCCACTCTGCTGAGTAGAGAGAAAACCCCAGAAACAGTCTTGTTAGCTGGAACCAGGGACCGAAGCTGGGTCTGAACGGGGGGGGGAAAAAAAAGGCACAGAACTGCCCAACCCAAACTAACTGGAAAAGACAGAGCTTGTTCTGTACGTGACAGGCTGGGTCAGGCCGTGGGAGTTCCACCAGGAGCAGGGGCTGGGGCTGCCCTCACAGGGCCAGGTTGGACGTTGGTTTGCACCAGCCACCTGAAGGGTGGAAAGGGAGCCTGGCCCCTTGGGAGGAGCATCCCTTGGGAGGCTTTGACCCTTCGGTGGGGGGCTGTTTGGGGTCAGGGTAAATCCCCTACGTCTCGGATGAACTGGAGTGGCGATGCATTGGTTAGAGGCTCAGAAGTATACTGGGTAAACTTAGAAATCAGAATAAAATAAAACGTAAGTAATCTATGAGTTATGTATTAATATAATTAATATAAATAATAAGAAAAAACTTGGAAATAATGTGCCTCATCCCAGTGCTGCGCGGAGGCGGGCTGTGGATTCTGCAGATGAGCTGCCTGCACCTGGGGCTGCTGGCGGCCTGAGCCCTCATGTCTGGGCCCTGGGGCCTGGGTGCTCCAGCTTCTTTCAGCACTTGGCTCTCACCCCCTGTGCTTAGCTCTCCAGTATAACTCTCCCTCCTCAGGGCAAGGGGCATTGCCACAAAGCTTTCTGGCAGGTAACCGAGGCTGCAGGAGTGATCTAATCTAGAGTTGTCTATCAGAACTCACTGGAGAGTCTGGCCCCAAATCTTGTGTTGGGCCCACATGTCTGCTGCAAGGACTGAGGAGTTGATGATGGGCATCAAAGAAGGTAGCCAAAGCGACCCTGCCATGGCCCGGAGCTTCCCCACCACTGGAGTTTGTGTGGCATCTCCTCAGGGCAGGAGGAGGTCCAAGCAGGGTCAGTCATCAATTGCCCACAGACGGTGTGTGGGGCATGTGCAGGAGTGTGGGGGCACTGCTGGCGGGCACAGGGCCAGACCTGGTGACAGGACAGCCCAGTAGGTGACACTGGCAGCCAAATGCCAGGCTGGGAGGAGGCAGGTGTGGGAATGGGGGTGGGGTTCCTCTGGCTTCTGAGCCTTAGCAAGGCGCTAGCACAATGTCAGGGCCACTAATTCTTCTGATTTCAGGCTTGAGAGTAAAAGAAACAAGAGGAAAGAGACAGGCAGGCAGGGCAGAGACAGAGAAAGAGACAGAGAGAATGCATTTCTCAGGTAGCATTACCTTAAGGATAATTTCTAATGTAAAGATACTAGTGAAGACATAGTCTGCATTGCCTAGGATCTGAAAAATAAGCACAATTGAATTAGTGGCTCAGAGAGGGAACGGACAGCAACAGGTGCACGTGTGTTAGAGACAGACAGTGGCAGAGAGCTAGTGCCCCGGAGGAGGACAGGAGGTGCAGGGGGAGGGGTGGGCTTTACCTTCAGAGCAATTTCAATGGTGAAAATGGTAGTAAAAACAATATCAAAATAATACAGAATCTGTAAAACAAAGAGAAACGGAGTGGGAACGGGGAGGGAAGGGATAGGCAGGATGGGGGAGCGGTCAGTGGCTGTTCACCAGGAAAGGAATTGCTTCAAACCACGACAGACGCCGCGTGAGCCTTTCCACATGGAGACAAAGGCAAACAAGTTAGGAGCTGAGTGGCACACACACAGCACTGGACCCTGAAGTGGGCTGGCCTCAGGCAGCTGGTGGCTCTGGATGGAGTCCCCAGATGTGTGAAGGGAGCTCAGGGCAGGCCTCAGCTTGTCCCAAGTCTCTACAGCATCTTGATGCTTTTCTCATTAATCCAATCCTTACAAACCCAAATCAGTCCACTGAGACAACAACTTGTCAAAAGGACAGCAAATAGGGTTTGCTTGTTTGCTTTTGCAAGAAGATGCAAAGTGCTTAACTGACATTGGTGTGGCTTGGCCAGCTTTCCATGTTGGTGGGAGTGTGTCCTCTGGGGCACAGGAGGTGCATCCTCCAGGGGAGGCCCACCCAGGCTGGGGCAGGCTGTATGGTTTCACATTTTATTCCTCCTCAGTGGATCGGAGCGAGGCCCAATACCTTTCCCAGTAGAAATGCTCTGAACCAAGCAGGACCACCAAGTGGTTTGCGTGGACATGCCTTTAGATTGGTAGGCCCCTGTCTTCATGCCCACTTGGTTGAGATTTGTTTTGAGGCTTTGAGATACAGCAATGCTTATTTTTGATTTTAATGTTGTTCATCGGAGCCTTGAGTGGGCCTCCAAGTTTAGTTCTACTCCATAGGAGGCCACAGAAGCTCTCTTTTATTTAAGGTCAGCCTTATCATTGGCAGCTGTCTGCAGTGCTCCTGTCTCCCTCATGATTAGGACTGGTCAGAGTATCCTGGGAGCAAGTCAGGATCAGTGGATATTTTTTTTATTAAGTTTACAGGAAACCAGGGGACATCCACAGGGCAATGAAAGTCCTGACCTTTGCCCATCAGGCCAGCCTGAGGTATCTGGGTACATGTTCTCTTACTTGTGGTCCTTATATGATTTCTACCAAAGCCTTAATCTTGTAAAGAACTGTTTATTTGACTATGAGATTTGGAGTTGGACTCCTGACTGAACGATGAGGCCAGCGACAGAAGCTGTGGGCCCAGTCACGTTTCCGGGAGGAAGGGGTGCAGAGAACTAACGGGAATGCATACATGGTTCCTGAAGGAGGTGTGCTGGACCGGGTCCTCCGCAGCCAGGGAAATGCTGCTGAGCAGGATGAAGAAGAGGATCAGGTTGGTGAAGATCGAGTCATTGACAATGCGGTGGCACTGGAGGCGAAACCTGCATGGGGAGGAGAGAGAAGAGATGCATGTCAGGAGGTCAAGGAAAGCAGCTCCCTGGGTCTCGGGAGCCACAGCTCCTCTCAGTGTGCAGAAGGTGCGCCAGTTGGGGGAGGGGGTTCTTCAGCCTGAAGTCTTACTTGCTGGGTGACGGCAGCCCCGGCACCCCCACTACGAGGCACGTCTGCACAGAATGCTGCCTTCTAAAGCTCTTTCACTGATAGCAAGCTTTGACATTTTATAGGGTTACATCTGAGGCCTCTGTGAATTTCTAAACTTTCAAATACTGTTATGACCTTAACAACTGGCTTTTGTTGGGAGACTTCTTTCCCCATTATTAAAAAAAACACACCCCACTTTGAGATCTACTTCATGTTTTTATGTATAGGGAACAACAGAGCCACCCAGAGACGTGGATGCTGAGAGGATGGCGGAACCTACACTCTACGGAGGCGATTTACTCTGTGTGATAGCTTCACGGTGTATCGTTCAATTCCACACCTCAGCACAATTACAAAGAACTACTACACACATGGATCTCTGGGCTCACACTGATAGTACCACAAGTGCTAAAGCCTCCAATGCCAAGGGTGTTTTATGTACTATCTTATCGTGACGGTTTGAAAGGTGATATGGGGGATATCATCGTTTTCATTTGGTAAATAAAAACAATGCAACCCAAGAAGGAGAGGCTTGCCCAGAAATGTAACCTGTAGAGTGAGGGCTTGAAACCAGGCCTCAGACCTCGGCTCCTGGCATGTGGTTGACTAAATGCTCTGAAAGACCTTACTGCTGCAGAAGCACCAAACGCTGGAAAGGACAACCTCTTCGAGACAATTCTGGTTTCATGAGAGTTCAGAGGAGTCTGCAATGATCATCCCCTTCAAACAAACAAACAAATCCTCCAACCTGGGGTCTGTGTGATAGGGAGGCAGGAGGGCAGAGCTGCCTGAGGATAGATGCCAGTAGCAGCACTGCTATCAGGAAGCTTCATTTCAAGCCAGAAATATCTGGAAAAAAGCTGCCCCAATAGTAATTAAGGTCACCAATTAATATGAGGTATTGAGATAACAATCAAGGATCATTAAACATACAAGATAAGCCACTAAGGTGGAAAATCAGAAAAAAACAATAAATAAATAAGTGATTTAGACTCCCCCCTGCCAAAGACTTTGAATATTAAAAATATCAGAAACAAAATATAGGACAACTATATTTGAAATATTTAATGAAATAAAGGACTTGATCACAAAGATGATGAATTAATAGGTAAGTGTTAGATATAGACAGATGAATCTGTAAAATCAAGCAACAAATGGAACTGCTTGAAATAAAAAAAAAGAATATAACAGTCAATATAAAAACTAATTTAGCACAAAGTTAAAGAGAGAATTAAGAAACTGGAAGATATAGCTGAAAAAATTACCAGCATACCAAAATAGAGATAAGGAGATGAAAGGTATGCAAGACTCATTAAGAGATAGAGTAGGCAGATGAGAAGGTCTAACATACGTCTAATTAGAGTACCAGAAGGAGAGAATAGAGAGAATGAGAACGGGCAATATTTAGAGTGATGGCTGCAATTTTTCAAGAATTAGCAATTATTATTTTAATCTTCAATATCATTCAAGAACTGAAGAAAAATATAAATCCATATACTTAGGAAGCATAACATATTCCAAGCAAGATAAGTAGAAAAAAGTCCATGTCTAGACACATGGTAGTAAATCTGCACATCAAAGGCAACAAACAGATGGTAAAAGCAGCTAGAAATAAGGGGAGATTACCTACAAAGAAATGATAGTAGGAATTAGGCATAACAGCTAATTATACAGTGGAATAATTCATCTAACATGCTGAGGGACAAAACCTGTCAATTTAAAATTGTGTACACAGCAAAACTATTTTTAAGAGCAAAAAATGATAAAGACAATTATTACATGCTCTCACTCAAATGTGGAATCAAATGAACAAAATAAACTGATGAACAATATAGATCCAGAGACATAGAAGCATGGAACAGACTGACTAATCTCAGAGGGAAGGGAGGAGAGGGGGCAGGAAGGGATTAACCAAAGAACTTATATGCATATATGCATAACTCATAGACACAGACAATACTGAGGTGAAGGCCTTCGGGGAGCGGGTACAAGGTGGAGGGGATCAATGGGGAAAAAATGGGGACATCTGTAACACTTTCAACAATAAAGATAAGTTAAAAAAAACCTGATTGATGAAAACTAACATGTGTACATGTCTAAATACATGGATGAAAACTGAAAACTTAAAAAATAAAATAAAAGAGTCAAATTTCAGTATAAAAAATGAAAACAATTATATAGATAAACGAAGGCCAAATGAATTTATCATACAGGAACTACAGGAACTTCTAAAGAATGTACTTTAGGAGACCTGAAACTAATATAATATTATATGTCAACTGTAATTGAAAAGTAAAAAAAAAAAAAGTGCAATTTAAAAAAAGAAGCAAAGAATGTACTTTAGGAAGAAAAAACATGATTGCAGAAGGATGGACTGGTAAGTTGTATGTAAATCCAAATATATACTGCCTATATAATAATACTGTTATTGACAATAATGTCTAACTTCAGGATTAAATACTAATCAACAATAACACGTAAGGCAGGAGGGGTTGAGAGGAGTTAAAATAATTGAACTTCCTTTTATTTTGCAAGAAGTTAAGGATATCTTGCACAAAGTTAAAGATCTTGTTAGCTTTAGAGTTTAAGTTAAATAGACTTACTAATTACCAAGAATAATCACTAAAAGACTAAAAATAGGATTTACGTATTTCAAAAAATGAAGAGAAAAATAAACACAGGCCTTCTGATTTAGAATACAGAACTCTTTTCCCTAAAAAGAGATAAGGGGCAGATTACCTAAAATGAGTGTAGGAATGCCAGCTAACTGTACAGTGGAATAATATATTTAACATGCTGAATAAATATATTTAACAAAACCAGTCCCTCTCTTCACACAAGTTGTGTGAGCTGGCGGTCCTGGAGCCTGGAGAGAGCAGAGTCCACCTTCCCCACTATTCTCACACACCTGTTGCTGGGGCTGAAGATGAAAAATGCACTGGCTTCAGGCATGGGCACTGCCTTTTCCTTGAGGTGCAGCTCCGAGAGTGGGCGTGGGCGTGGGCCCACGGGCATCTCAGGCTCCTCCTCATCCTCCTCTCCTGAAAGAAAAAAAGCACCTTCTAAATAACTCCATTTACTTTCACCACTGTGCTGCCTACTTCAGATGCCTTCCTACTGACAAGAATCAAGACATCATTTGTATTTCTGAAAACATGAGGTACAAACCAAGACAGACACTCCGCTTTCTCCCCGTGGGCACCGCTGGAATTCATCTATGTTAGAGAAAGACTTTCCTGGCAGCACCTGATAAGGGGGTTGTAAGTAGGGTGACTGACTCATGCTGGTTTTCCCAGAACTGTACTGGTTTTTAAACTGGTTTTTTAAATCATGATATTTACAAATGAAATTAAAGTAAGGATTTTAAGTTTCTGCCTAGCTGTTTGTTTTCCTTTCACTTTTGCTCCAGATAATCCAACACTTTCTTATTCACGATAATTTGGTAACAGGTAATTTAATGATTATCTTAATCATTTGTGTTTATAGAAAAACATATTTACTAGTGTTGTGCTTTCCTAAGTTCCTCACGAGGAACTTCGCGTGCTCTTTCACCTGCAACAGTCCACCCGGGCACCTGCTCTGACCTGGCCCGGCCCCTTTGTTCTCTCTGCTACAGGCTCCTTCCGGCTCCTCCTCAGAAAAGCGCATTCCACTTCAGAGATTCTGCACTTGCTAGACCCTCCACCTGGACAGCTCTTCCCTCTGATTTCCACACGTGTGGTTCAGGCTTCCCCATGATTTCTTCAGCTTCAGCTCACATGCTGCCTCCTCGAAGAGGTCTTCATGGGCCTAACAGCAAAGCAGCAGCCCCATTAACTCAAGCACAGCCCTCGGCTCCGGATCTGATGTTACCTTTCTGGCTGGCTTGTTTTTTTTGCACATTGTCGGTCTCCCCACTGAAATGTGAGCTCCAGGAAAGCAGGAGTATCCGGTGCCTGCCACAGTGCCTGGCACACAGTAGGTGCTTGCTAAGTAGTTATTAGTGAATGAATGTCTCCAAGGTTTCTTCCAGCTTTGTGTCTTGAGAATAGTGGTCCTGAAATAACTTCTTCCTTCTCCAGTTCTCCGAACTCAAAGCCCATTCAAGGCCATCCTTGCCCATGAAGCTTCCCTGGCATCCCCTACCTCAGTGCTCTCCTCAAACCCCTTGCAGCAATTTGAGTGACCCCCACATCTGGCCCTGAACTATACATCCCCTGATACCCTTCACATTTCTTCTTCATTGTCATTAATTTTAAGTCCTTAGTGACTTTTAAGAACATGCGTATGTTCACGCAAGTAAATTTATCAATTACATAAGAGCACAATCTTGGCACAGTGCTTTCCTTCCTGGGCAAGTAGGTATTTCTAACGTTGAGTGCATACGAAGCTGGGAGGCTAAAACCACCCGGTGAGCTTTGGAGATTACACTGAGAGGGAAGGACTGACTGGCCACCTCTGGCCTCTGAGGCTGCTCTGAGGATTAGGAACAGGCCCTCCTTTGGGTGTCCCCGAGAGGGCAGGGGCTGTGGCCAGCAGAATGCAGGCTGCAGTTCAGCCTTACTCAGCATCTCCACACACACCTTTGGTGCAACTTGGACAAGTAAACAGAGCAGCCTACAGAGAGGGGTGATGGCAAAGGGAGCAGGAGGCCCAAGGAGGGAGGAGAGTGTAGGATTGCTCTCCAGCTCTGACCTTCCCCTCTGGAAGGCTGGTGGCAAGTGGGGCACAAGGACGCTCACCAGAGCTGCCTCCCAAGGGGCACAGCAGGGCCAGCTGCCCCAAAGCTGGGAAAGCAGAAGAGGCAGTGGTTGGGAGGACAACCGCAGATCAGAGGAGAAGCAGGCAGGAACAAGGCACTGACAAGAGCAGAGACAACAGGTCAAGTGACCTTGGAGGAGACACTGGGGTGTCTGCCGCACCTGGTACTAAGGGGCGAGGAGCAGGAGCTGGGAAGCAGATGCTGAGTTAGCCTTGAACCTTGGAGGAGACCCTGGGGTGTCTGCCGCACCTGGTACTAAGGGAGCCAGGAGCTGCTTGCCCAGGCAGGAAGGGGGAGCAGGAGCTGGGAAGCAGATGCTGAGTTAGCCTTGGAGGAGAGGGAGGGGCTTAGGAGCTGCTTTCAAGGCCTGAGCGGTGGTGGTGGGGAGGGGGAGCCGCAGAGGCAGCACAGCCTCAGCCTCGGTTATGGACCAGAGGTGGGAGAAGTGTGGGACCCAAAGAAACAAAGGCCTGGGTAGAAAAGAGGGTAGAGGAAGGTGGCCACATGATCAGGGAAAAGAATAGATCCTAAAAACATCTAAAGACTCCTGAGGAGTCAGCAGTGTGGGAATAGCTTTTCAGTTTAAAAGCAAAACCGTTCCAAGAATCCTTAAAGCCAGTCAACAGAGACACTTCTTTGATGACTGATACCAGGACAATAGTATCCTTATTAGTCCTTTTCCCCTTGACCTGCTTCTTTTTTATTTCACTTCTTTTTTATTTAGAGCAACAGAGAAGAGAACAGCCATGAGTCTATTTAGAATGATGAATTTGCAGCTATTGTCCTAGGTTTGTGTCTGCCCCAGCCCTGAGGGAGAATGGCTGTGGGCAGGGCTTCCTGAAGGCTCAGGCAGGTGGGACAGACAGCTTAGGGCCCAGAGGTATTTGTTTTATTACTGTCTTTCCTTTTAAACGTTAAGAACAATAATCATCCTTATAATAATCCTATGAGTAGAAAGCCTTGCATGGTGGACCTCCATACCCAACTCCAACAACTATTGATAGTTTGCCCATCTTGTTTCATTTACTTCTGTTCCCGTTTTTAAAAAATTGGATTATTTTAAAGCAACCTCTAAATATTTTAGACTCCAGCTATAAACACTTCAGCATTTAAAAATAGAATTATAATGATATCATTATATTAACAAGATTAACAAAAACTAAAATCGTTTAGTTCCCAGTCCATATTCAATTTCCCCTAATTAGCTAAAACAATGCCATTTCAAAGTTTATTTATTCATGCAGGATCAAGACAAAATCCTTCCATTGCGTTTGGCCAATATTTCTCTGTCTTTGAAATTCTGTGATGGTTTCCACCTAGAAGGGCTTTAAAACTTCAAAAAGCTTAGTGCCTGCACCTGGACACACCCTTCCAGCCCTCCTCCAAGGCCGGGAACCGCCCTGCCCTATTTCCCTTGCAGAGGGAGGTGAGAGAAGGGAATGACCGCAGGGAGCCTGCTCCCAGGGACAATGTGGCTGCTGGTGCCCTTGCAGAGAATACAGCAGAGAACCGGGGGAGGGAAAGCAAAAGGAAAACCTAGCTTTGCTTATAAGTGCAGAAGGTTGTCAGCCACCTAAGGTGGCTACCAACCCAAATATAGCCTAGCCTACACAGAGCAGGAAATGTCAGTAAAATCAACAGTCCCTTAGTGCATGTACTTGAGTGCAAGCTTGAAGCTGGTGGGAATATCTTTAATCAATTGTAGGTAAAAGTGAGGCAAACCCAGGGCTGGTACAGGACGTGGGGTTGCAGGAGGTAGAGAATTGAATCCTGGAGGGAGGTGGAAGGAACTCTGACAACCCAAGCCTCCCAGCGGAGCCTGCCTGCCATGTACAGATCAGACAGAAGATGAGAAGACCGTGTGGTACTAGCTCTTTTTATAATAAGAGACCTGAAAGCGGTTTACAAAGCGACAAGTGGGACATCTGTGGTGGCAGCTGTCCTTGTACTCAGCACTGCCTCCTGAGTAAGGACAAGGCAGATTTGGAATTTACTATTATTATTTTGTGTGCATGATGCTGTGACATATGTTAGACTAATGAATTATATAATGTTAATAATGATTTTACAACGTAAGATATAATAAAACCTTAAATGTATACATAATCCATCTTCCAAAGGACACGGCAGCACTGCTCAGACCTAATTTACTCAGTCTTATACTATTATTGTGAGCAAACCAGGAGCAGCGTTTCCCCCAGATGATCATTGGTAACGCTTCAGTGCAGAGACTGGAGATACTGAGCAACGCAAAGTCCTTGTAGAGGAAAACTGGAACCATTGGCCCCTAACACATGGTTACTTTCACATGGCTTTAGGTCTCCTCCATTCCCTTCCCCCGCCCCCAGCTCCCCCCAGTGGCAGGCAGGGGAACCGTACCTGTCGCTTCCGGGTTGGGGTAGACACCCTTGTCCTCATTTTCATTGGGCTGGAGGTCATCCATGTTGATCTAGGCAGCCGAGGGAGAGAGAAGGAAGAATCCAGTCAGACATGGCCCAACTTTTAGAGGCTGCATTATAGTCAGTGGCTGAGCTGCTGACTCAAAAATATATCCTCATGACTTTGCATAGACCCTTGAGACATTAACAGAGGCTGGGATTCAATCACTCTGCCTGCTCTTCACATTCCTGCTCTCCTGCTCCGCCCTCACTGCCCTTATCCACCGGTCTCTTTCCCTCCTTGCTCTTTTCCGTGGGTGTCTGGCCTGGGAAGACGGTCCTTGCCCTCCCAGGTCCTGGAAGGAGACAGTGCTCACCTTGGTGGTGGGCGGGGACTCTCCGTCAGCTGTAATGGATTTCAGCTCAATTTTCTCCTCCTTGGTCTCCTCCACTGCTGGCTTCTCCACCACCTCCTGTTTCTTCTCTGGGCTGGCAGTCCTGGCCGGTCAGCAGGAGAAAACCATAAAGGGATGTTTACTGGAGTGACAGGGAACAGGGGTAGGGAACTGCCCTGAGGTCTGCTGGGGACCAGTGGGAGCAGATTCCTGTGCCTGTGTCCATCTTCCTTCCCCGGGGCACAGGCAGGTGCAGCTCCATCACAAATGCTACTGGGCTGGGCCCAGGATCCAGGAAGCTGGCCACACCTTGCTGTCTGTACTCAGTTGGCCTTTCCCAGGCCCCGTCTAAGTCAGAGAAAGGTTCTGGGATCTCATTCAGGATTGGCTCCTGAGAACTTGGCTCAGTACCCAGCAGATCTGTGGCCTAGGACAGTCCCATCTAGATAATGACAAGACAATGGAGGGCCCAATTTTGCCTTCAAAATAGTGAGGAGGAATCTCTCTTTCACCTGGAGTTGCAATTCTTCACTGAGTGGTTGCTCCCACCTTCCCATCCTTTGCTCCCCTCACCTACGATGACCTCTTTTCTCAAAGGAGAAAACCACAACTTCCTACACAGGTGGGGGAATGCAACGCCTTCACAGAGGCTGTAACTCATGCTGGTCCCCACTTTGGATCAATGCCTAGGAATTAGGGGAGAGGCCCAACCTATTCTAGGAAGTCCCGAACCCAGTGCCCTTCTGGGAAGGACACAGGCCAGCAGAGGCCGTGCTCACACCTCTCCTTACCACCAATGGGAATGGCATTGCAGAACTGGGCCCTGGGGCCCTGGGCCTGGGGCAGCTTAGAGGGTTACCTGGCCAGCTTCTTTCTCTCCTTCTCTTCTTCTTCCTCCTTCTGGGCAGATGTGAGGCTCTCAGCATCAGCCAGGTTGTCCACAGCAATGGCCAAGAACACATTCAGTAGGATATCTGTTTGTGTCCATTCTTAAAGAAAATGACCCTTGGCCTTGGGGTGTTTGGTGGGCATAGGGGGCCAGGGGGTGCAGGACATGCAGGGATAGAGTTCCCCACAGAGGGAGCTCAACAGTGACTCAGGAGTACTGAGCTTAGGGGTGTCCCTCCTCCATCTCTTTGCCCCTACATCACACTTCTAGCTACCTGGAGTTTTCTAAGGGGTGGAGAGTAGGCTGGCTTTCAGGCTAGAGCAGGGAGGGAGGAAGGCAGTGCTCTGCCTTGCTCTTCAATTGCTGGGCTTCATTATTGGTTCCCCCACAGAGACGGCTGGCTGTAATTGACATTATGAAGAGCATTGTCTCTAACAACACAGAGGGCTCTTAAAGGCTGTTCATTATAGCTGGGCACTGAGGAGGTGGCCTGATATCCCTGCCAACTCTTAATGCGAGCCGCCCCTACAGAGGCCCTTAGGGGTCCGGTGGAGCTTGGCAAGTCCCGACTGAAGTGGCTGTTTGCCCTTGTCTTCTCCCTCTACCCCCAACTTTGAATGGAAACACTGGGTCAGAGAACTGTAGAAGCAAAGAAAGGATAGCTGAGCGGGGACTTAACATCTGTTAAGTCTGACCTCCTCCCCCAGACACGACAGTCATACCATTTCACACACAAGGAAACCACAACCGGGGGCGGGGGGGTTTGTCCAAGAGGCTGCTGGGTACCTGCCCTTGGGCCTTACCCGTTGACCCTCACAAGGACCCACTGAGGAGCAGCTACTATCACTTTATCACCCCAGTATATCATCAGCAGCGGTTGCCCAGCCTATCTTTGGGGCCAGGGCCATGCTTTCTGCATTTCATTCATCTGTGATTTAGACCCCGGTCTACTTGGCCTCCCGCCTCTGCACACAGCCTCACAGGTGACCACCATAGGCAGAGAGGAGTGCCCACATGTGAGACCCTAAAATACTGCCCGTGGACCTGCCTAGTGAGGCGTGCCCAGCTTTCCCCATGACCAAAGGCTGGCAGAGTGGCTTCAGAGGGAGGAGCACTGACCAGAAGGCAGGGGAAGAGATGACGGTCATGTGAAGGACGAGGTTCAGTCAATAAAGCCTCCCATCCCCATGAGGCCAGGGCAGCCAGGGCAGCTAAGGCGCTCACATCTAGGTGGCTCACATGGGAATCTGTGTGAGCTCACATGGGGCTGCACACGATAACACAGGGGTGTTGGTCACCTGAACTAGGAGAAGGACACGCCTCCTGGAGTCGGGCAGTGCTGAGGCAGAACAGCACAGGAAGATGAACTTACATCCCGTCTTTGCCACAGCTCCTGGCTCCTTCCACCAAGCCCCTCCTCCAGCTAAGGTGGTCTGGGCTGGGAACTGCTTTCTCCCCCCAGAACATGCCTTTTCCCACTTGCCTGGGGACCCTGTGGATGGGCAACCACAGTTTTCACCCTGAGTGACGGCCTGCGGGCACACCTATTTGGCACCGGGCTGTAGGCTGAGGGAGGGTGGGTGGTAGGGGTGGGGAGGCAGGAGCAAAGGATACAGTTTCCACAGATGAAGAGGATGATGAAGTAAATACAGACTAACATCCCTGGAAAAGAGGGGCCGCCATAAGCCATGATCCCATCATACATCACCGAATTCCAGTCCTCCCCGGTCAGGATCTGAATGACACATTCCCACCAATAAGGGACACAGTGTTAGACCAACAGCAAACCCAAAAACTCCCCTGCCCTGCCCCGCTCTGCTAACAATAACGCCTGAAATCTCCTTCCACCTCTGGCCCTTATGCCCCAGCTCTCCTCCCTGGGCCACTGAGCTGGACCTCTCCCCTGCCCTGCCCCGCTCTGCTAACAAGAACGCCTGAAATCTCCTTCCACCTCTGGCTCTCCTGCCCCAGCTCTCCTCCCTGGGCCACTGAGCTGGACCTGGCAGGCTGACCCGTCCTCAAAGTGCATGGCCACCGGCACACTATTATTTGAGAAGTGACCCAAAGGGCTTCCTGGTCAAGGCACCTCCCACTGCCCACATATGCTGCATGGGATGGCCACCGCTAGCCATTCCTTGGGTTAAGGCATCAGGGGCCCCTTTACAAATGTGAATGTGTCCAACGGGAGAATAACACACAACCCAGTTCTCTCCAAACATTAGTCATCTGGGTCCCAGCTTTAAGATTTTGGCAACATCCACATTGTTATTCATTTTTACCTGTAAATCATTCTACTTTTAAACTAAAACAAGTGCTACTTTAGCTTTGCCCTAAACCAAAATATCTATGGAAGCACAAATTTGATAGGCTAGCTATATATTTCTAGGGGCAAGCATGGTGGATAGATAGACAGAGCTCCATCCTCCCCTCCCACAACAGAGTAGTCTGCTTTTATTTGTTTATATTTTGGGCTTCCATGTAGAATTTATTTGAATAAAGGTTCCCAATGCTAGGAAGAGTTTTTAAACCTCTCAATCAGACCTTTTTTCAATAGTCCACCCAACAGGGAAATTCCATGGGGGCCTGCGGGTGGGGGAAACTATAGAAGGAACTCAAGGTTCCCCTGGCATGGACCCTCTGTGGCTGATCTAGCTGGCTTTGGCTGCCCATGCAAGGGTGAAGCTTCCCCCCACCTTGCCAGGCTCCTTCTTCCTGCTCCCCACTCCCCCCACCACTCGACCACCTCCACCCCCCAGGTCATAAGCCCAGCAGAGGAGAGTCCATACCTGAAACACGGTGAGGAGGGACTGGGGAAAGTTATCAAACGTGCTCCTCCGAGTCTGCATCTCATCAAAGTTGAACTTTCCTCCAAAGAGCTGCATCCCCAGGAGGGAGAAGATGATGATGAAGAGGAAGAGCAGTAGTAGCAGGGAGGCGATGGAGCGCACGGAGTTCAGCAAGGATGCCACCAGGTTGCTTAAGGAGTTCCAGTACCTGAGGACCAAACGAGGAATCAACATCCTTCTCCTGTGCTTTCCCAGACTTCATTCCTCGTTCACACACCCACTGGAGTTTAAGGTAAATTTCAGCTCCCTCCTCGTTTCCCCTTTACGTGGGATGGTGTTCTGAATTGGGCTGGTAAGCTCCCAATTGGAATGTGCAGCTAGTTGATTCAAGGTCCCAGGATCGATGACGTGTAATGGAGAAGAGACGGAGTTCTGACCTAGCTCTGCCACTGCTAGCTGTGTGTGCCTTTGGACAAGTCACTTAACTTCCTGTCCTTCTGCCTCCCGCTGAGGAAATAGAGACAATAACCCACACTTCAGTAAGTTATTGGGAGGATTACATGAGATATTAAAAAATAAAAAGCTTCCAGTATAGTGTCTGGTGCACAATTGAAAAGGGTAGTTATATTGTTACCACTGTGGGTTTTAAATAGAAAAAACACTTTCCACTCCCCAGGAATGCTCCCCTCAGCCTCGCCTAGGCAGCAGCTGTCCAGCAGAGGCAAGAGTTAGGTCACCCATGGGTAAGAGAGGGTGTGTCACTTAGCAGTTTCCCAAGTGTACCCTGCCCAAAGAATTGTGTGTTTTTTGTTTTTTTTAAAGCCCCTCTTCTGAAGATCCAGATTTGATAGCTGTAATTTGAGGCTCAGACATCTGTATTTATTTTATTTTTTCTTTATTTTATTTTTTCATCACCACTTATCCCCATTATACCCTCTTTCACCTCCACCCACTCCTCTCCCTCACCCCCAACAATCATCACAGGGTTGTCTGTGTCCCCAAGTGTACCCTGCCCAAAGAATTGTGTTTTTTGTTTTTTTTAAAGCCCCTCTTCTGAAGATCCAGATTTGATAGCTGTAATTTGAGGCTCAGACATCTGTATTTATTTTATTTTTTCTTTATTTTATTTTTTCATCACCACTTATCCCCATTATACCCTCTTTCACCTCCACCCACTCCTCTCTCCCACCCCCAACAATCATCACACAGTTGTCTGTGTCCATGAGTTCTTTTTCTTTCATTTTGCTCATCCCTCCACTCCGACAATACCCGCCTCTCACACCAGAGCTGTCTGCCTGCTCTCTACGAGCCTGTCTCCATTTGCTTGTTAGTTCAGTTTGTTCATTAAATTCTACATATGAGTGAAAACATGTGGTACTTGTCTTTCTTTGACTGGCTTATTTCACTTAGCTTAATGTTCTCCAGGTTCCATCCATGTTGTCACATGGCTGAGTAGTATTCCATTGTGTAAATGTGCCACAGCTTTTTTATCCACTCATCTACTGATGGACACTTGGGCTGCTTCCAAATCTTGGCTATTGTAAATAACACTGCAATAAACATTGGGGTGCATATATTCTTTCAAATTAGATAGTCTATTCAACAAATGGTATTGTGAAAATTGGACAGATAATGTGCAAAGTAAATGAAACTAGACTACCTTCTTACACCACACAAGAATAAACTCAAAATGGATTAAAGACTTAAATGTTAGACTCAAAACCATAAATGTTAGACTCAAAATCATAAAACATAGTAAAATCTCAGACATTTCTCATAGCAATATTTTTCTGATATATCTCCTTGAGCAAGGGAAACGAAAAAATAAACAAATGGGACTACATCAAATTAAAGTTTTTGCCCAGTAAAGGAAACATCAACATAATGAAAAGATAACCCACTGAATTGGAGAACATATTCACCAATGATATATCCGATAAGGGGTTAATATCCAAAATATACAAAGAACTTATAAAACTCAACACCAAAAAACAACAAGTAAAAAAATGGGCAAAATACTTGAATAGACATTCTCCAAAGAGAACATACAGATGGCCAATAGACATATGAAAAAATGCTCAACTCACTAATTACTAGAGAAATGCAAATTAAACTACAATGAGATATCACCTCACACCTATCAGAATGGCTATCACCAATAAATCAACAAACAAGAGTTGGGGAGGATGTGGAGAAAAGGGAACCGTCATGCACTGTTGGTGGGAATGCAGACTGGTGCAGTCACTGTGGAAAGCAGTATGGAGTTACCTCAAAATATTAAAAATGGAACTGCCTATGACCCAGTAATTCCACTTCTGGGAATTTAGCCAAAGAAACCAGACACCTGTATTTTTAACAACCATCCCAGAGGATTCTGATAAGCAGGCATGTTTGGGAAAACCTGTTTCACTCACAGGGACAGTCTAGGCAGATGGGCTATGGGTGTGGTTCCTTATAGTCAACAACCTTCTCTTCACTGTAAGTAAACACTGAGGTCCTGCATTATAGCTTGGGAAAATCCCGTTGGCTGCTGGAGGAGGCCTGCATACCCATGAGACGGTCAGTTTCAGAGAAGGAAATGCCCTGTAGCAAAAGGGAGGCAGCCTTAGTCAGCAGCACGTGTAACAACAGAGAAATCTTGTGTCCCCAAGCTCCTTGCTGGCTCTCTGCCTTCTTGGTCACCATCCAGATTTCCTCCACTTAAGACATTCCCAACTTATTAGCACATATACAGTGAAATGGTTTCGCTACTTAAAAGAGTGACATACGAGTCACCCCCATGCAGCCTTACAACCACACCCTCAGCCTGACAGGTCTCTCCAGAGAACTGTTCCATAGGAAGTGACAGAGCAGGTGGGCCACCAGTTTGAATGTCAATATGAACTCCTTTAATGCTCCTTTCTCCTTCCGAATTGAGCCAGTCATTCTCCCTCTGTTTGCAGAACATCATACACTTAGTTGTATCTGCTCTACAAACACTCTTGAATGTTTTCATTGTGACAGTCTTGTCTCACCAGAATTGGCTCTGAGTTCTTGAGGGCAGGGACCAGAAGTTCTGTTCTCTTCATTGCTGTCCCCAAATAAAATCTGTGTAACTCAGTACGTGTGGCGGACTGCCTGGGGTCCCTATAGGCTGGAAGTTGTAGTCATTGTTTTGTTTAAACAAGAAGTGAGAGAGCCTTTCTGGGGCTAGACTGCCCTTCCCGTTTACATCTGAGCAGCGTTCCCAAACGTGTTGGAGAAGAAACCAATGAGAACAGTGATTGTGTTTCCTAAATACTGATTTCCAGGACCCCCCCGGAACCATGAAATCATAGTCTCTGGCTCTGGGCCTCGTGCGATTCTCACGTGACCACTCCAGCACTTGTCAGTCAACTAATGTTTAGAAACCAGCAACTTTAGAGCATATTTATAACGAGAATTCCCAGCTGTCAGAAGGGAGTATGTTGACACATAGATTAAGGTGGGAAAGGCAGGGGGACGAGGTGTGCGTGGTCGGAACAGGTGGGGTGGTGGCGGGACTTCTCACATGCACATACTTGGCCCAACAGTGAGGAGTGGCAATTTGCACCTCCCCCACATCATTTCTTTCCTTAAATTCATGGGTCAAGTGTCTGAGATTCCTGACTGTTCCATTGCCAGATCTCATGTCAAATTGTAGGGTGTCCCCCAAAAATGTATACACACACTTTGAATAATTATAAAGTACATTTCACTTTCATTTAATAGGTATTGGCTATTAAAGTGTGTATATATTTTGGGGGGACACCCTGTATTATGCAGCAAGAGAAGAGACTGGTGGTTGCCAGAGGCAGGGGTGGGGAGATAGGTTGAATGAGTGAAGGGGTTCAAAAGGTTCAAATTTCCAGTTAACATATAAATTGGTCATGGCTATGCAATCTACAGAATGGCTACTATCTACACTAATAAAAGAGAAAGATGCAAATTAACCATCACTCTGCCACTCTGCTACACCCACAAGCCACGCCCACCAGCTAATCAGGACCCAGTATGCAAATTAACCCAACTAAGATGGCAACAGCCATGGAGCTGGAGTGAGCAGGAGGCTTGGGTTGCCCCTGGAGATGGAGGAAGCCAAACTTCCTGCCTGCCCTGGCTGGCCCTGGGCTCCGCTCAAGGCTACAAAGTTTCAATTATAGAAGATAAAAAAATCCCAGATACCTGCTTCCAGCCCGCCAAAAAAGAAAAGAAAAAAAGGAGAGGCTGGGAGCTTGGGTTGCCAGGGGGCGTGGCCAGCCTGAAAACAGCCATCAGCCCCTCACCCAGGCTGGCCAGGCACCCCAGTGGGGACCCCCACCCTGAAGGGGGTGTGGCCAGCCTGAAAACAGCCCTCAGTCCCTCACCCAGACTGGCTAGGCACCCCAGCGGGACCCCCACCCTGATCCGGGACACCGTTCAGGGCAAAACAGCCGGCCCCCACCCATGCACCAGGCCTCTATCCTATATAATAAAAGGGTAATATGCAAATTGACCCTAACAGCAGAACCACTGGGAATGACTGGTCGCTATGACACACACTGACCACCAGGGGGCAGACGCTCAATGCAGGAGCTGCCCCCTGGTGGTCAGTGAGCTCCTACAGGGGGAGCTCTGCTTAGCCACAAGCCAGGCTGATGGCTGCCAGCACAGCAGTGGTGGCGGGAGCCTCTCCCGCCTCCTCAGCAGCGCTAAGGATGTCCGACTGCAGCTTAGATCTGCTCCCCACTGGCAAGTGGACATCCCCTGAGGGCCGCCGGGCTGCCAGAGGAATGTCTGACTGCTAGTTTAGGCCTAATCCCCTGGGGAACAGGCCTAAGCCAGCAGGTGGGCATCCCCCAAGGGGTCTCAGACTGTGAAAGGGCACAGGCCGGGCTGAGGGACCCACCCGCCCCCCGAGTGCACAAATTTTTGTGCATCGGGCCTCTAGTAATTAATAATACTGGATTGCTCATTTGAAAGTTGCCAAGAGAGTTAAATCTTAAATATCCTCTTATCACAAAAGATATTTTTGGTAACTATGTGTGGTGACAGATGTCAACTAGACTTACTGTGGTGATCATTTCACAATACAGCAGTCCCCCCATCCACGGGGGGATACATTGCAAGACCCCGGTGGATGCCTGAAACCACAGATGGCACCGAGCCCCGTATATGCTGCTTTTCCTATGCATAAGTACCTTTACATCTTCTCTGGGGCATTTCTGAATT